CCCAGCATCACACAGGAAGTTAGTGGCTGGGTAAGGAATATAACACAGTCCACAAACGGTCCTCTTTCTTCAGCACTTAGGCTCACACCCATCCAGTCCTTCCTCTTCCTGATGAAATCGCCAGCTAAGTCCACATGGGAAAGTGAGTGTTTTGATGGGAACATCCAGTCCGATTGCCAGATACACATCACATGGGTCATCCAATAGTAAAGATCTCGGGGCACTGCCAATGTGGGCTGCATTTGAATTGGCAACCTAGCAACGCTCATTATCCCTTGAGCCATCCATGTCCCCAGCATGATGTCACTTTTGAGGTCCATGCATACTTCAGACATGTACTCCCTCCTCCCCACTGTGTAAGAGGAATAGTTAAGAACAAAATTTTAGGGGGGAGATTTTCAAAGGTACAAAAGCATCCGGTGCCCATCTGCACCTTTGGAAATCTGCACCAAATCCACTGGCTTTGCTTGGTTTAGGTCGCAACCTTCACATTCCTTAAAGGCGTTTTTGTTTTAATTCTTTTGCATTCTTTTAAAACAGTAGATTTGAAAAAGAAGGAAAAGGGACGACATAAAAATCTCCAACATCTACCATTTTTCCATTTTCATCGTGAGCATGGGACTGGGACTTTTGAGTTTAGACTGGGACTTTTGAGTTTAGAAAAGAGGAGACTGAGGGGGGATATGATAGAGGTTTATAAAATCATGAGTGGTGTGGAGAGGGCCGATAAAGAAAAGTTATTTATTAGTTCCCTAAATAGAAGAACTAGAGGACACTAAATGAAATTAATGGGGAGCAGGTTTAAAACTAATAAAAGAAAGTTCTTCACACAGTGTGTAGTCAACCTGTGGAACTCCTTGCCAGAGGAGGCTATGAAGGCTAGGACTATAATAGAGTTTAAAGAGAATCTAGATAATTTCATGGAGGTTAGGTCCATAAAAGGCTATTAGCCAGGGGATAAAATGGTGTCCTTGGCCTCTGTCTGTCAGAGGCTGGAGAGGGACGGCAGGAGACAAATCGCTTGATCATTGTCTTCGGTCCACCCTCTCTGGGGCACCTGGTGTTGGCCACTGTCGGTAGACAGGATACTGGGCTAGATGGACCTTTGGTCTGACCCAGTACGGCCGTTCTTATGTTCTTATGTTCACCCTCTGTTAAAACTTATTTAAACATACTCTCTACATTGCTCAAAAATGTTACACAGATCCTGTGTATAAAGATCCTTTGTAATTCTAACAATAAACAAGAGTTGGGTAGTGACTAGTTTTATTATGTTTATAGCATGTTTCAAATGTATACTTTTCTAATATGTGTTATAGTAATAAAACAGCAAAACAAATAAATTTTTAAAAGACAGGATTTCTCCTAAATATAAACAACATTTATAATTTATAGAAGTATATTCTACCCAGACACTACAGAATTCCTGTTAACATTAATGTGCCCATGAAAAGACCATTATTTCCTAAAATGTATTTGATTCATATAGCAGCATAACCCAGAAATGCAATGATCTTAGTAAATTTGACATAGTCTATCTCTAAGCATGATCAGCTTTTGACTCTCGAACGGGCAAAATTAAAGTCTGGAAGCTGAATAGTTTGAGTGATGGGGATATATTTCTACGTCTCTAATCCTTTTATAGATTGTATATAAAGTAAGAATTTTATTCAACAAAATTACTTGCTCTGATTTTTTAGAAATTTTAGTAGTTTGGAGTGGACATGATTCACCACTGCTTTGTACTTTGTGTATCCTGTACATGGTGCAACGTGGATACAAAATGGTACCATTCTAAAATGGTAGCATTTTAAATGCACTCTGCACAGGCGTAGATGACTACACAAAGTACAAAGTAGTTGTGAATCAGGCCCATGGTGTATGAGGTTTGAGAACATCAGTCTGAATTTGGAAAATTGCCAAGGAGAGTTGCTGTGAGGAGTTGTACTGCCTGTTCATATCTTATTATCAGAAACGGTACATTTGTAAAGAAAAATAGATTAGGATAATTTAATAAACCTACATTTGCCATCATTTGACAGAAAAAGAACAGAAATAAGCTCCTTCTTGGGTTCTAGTGCATGAACCACTCAGTACTGTAACAATATCAATAAGTGAGCCATAGCTGGGTTTAAGTGTTTAGGAGTAAGTTAAAAACAAAAGATCAGACATTGTGAGTCTATTTAGTCACTGTCAGGCTTATGTGTCTCAAGAGAACATTTCCTCAGTGGTTTTATAAACCAGCATATTCCCAAATCAGCAGACATATTGTAATTTACCTTGCTGCTGAGTGATGAATTGAGGTTTACTTCTTATAGCTGTGGGCAAAAATTTCAGAAAGTGTTCCATCATAACTGTTATGAGTATATCCTTGTTTCATTATGGCTGAATAAGCCACTGAAGATTTAGCACAAATTGCTTTTTTTGTAATTGATATTTGTGTCTTAATGTTAGAAATACTTTTTCTGTACAACTATAAAATGGAATTCTTGGTTGGTAAACCGTTCTACTTCGATTTTTCTTAGATAAATGCTGATCACATGAAATATGAATTATCCCTATTGTGAGTTTTATATTTGTTGTATCTTACAGTGAGTCACTTAACAACAGTATCAGAGAAATGATGAAATAGTAAGGGTTGAATTATGAAAGTAATAAGGAGCAAGACTGAGGAATATATTCTCCTTATGGGTGCAGAGGTATAACTTTCACTAATGCCAATGCAAATACAAGTGTGTACTGATAGGAAAAAAGAAAAAGAAGCTGCTCAGAAATAACCAGGGGATAGGGTTGTCAGGTGTCTGGTTTTGAACCAGACAGTCCAGTATTTGAGCTTTCTGTTCGGGAAACAAACTGAGAAAATATAAATGTCCGGTATTTTCTAAATAAGATGTAATGTAGATTGTGATGTAATGTCAAGTGTGTTCGGTATTTTTGTTTAAACCATCTGGCAACCCTACCAGGGGAAAAAAAGGTGTGATGTTGTGCAGTTAAAAAGGCAGGCAGTCTCTTTTGAGACCATAAAACAATTCTCAATTGACTTCTATTGAGCACTTACTAGTGACTCCTTACACAGCTTTCTCTCAACCCCATTCAAAGGCTGGGGATGATGGTCTTTAGAGTTATTCCAGAATCAGAGGTGATACATAAATATACAGTTTTAGTTAGCTTTGGTCTGGCAACTTGCATGCATCAGCAATGATTTTTCTCCAACTCATCCATTATTCTGGCTTCTGATCTGAACTGAGTCACTTGTTTCAGATAAAATGAATATGGGCAAAGAACACTATTTTAATATGAGAAACCACAGTAGCAACTCCGAGCAGCTGGTGAAACCAGGTGCACATGTTCTAAGCTTTGAGCAGCTGTTGCTCTGCAGATTCTTATATCTCTGCCATCATTTTACAAGTAAATCAAGTTGCAACATATGTGTTCATTCTTAATGTAAGTTTTGTTGAAGAATCAAGGCATATAGGTTTAGAATGTCACTCCTCCTTACATGATTAAGAACAGCTAAGGATACAACCCTATCCCCTGATACAAATGGCCATTCCGAAGTGACCTTGTAGAATCATGCATGGTGAAAGTGTTCTGTCATGTTTGCTTTAGAGAGTACAACAATGCTGAATTGGGAAAGATCAACAATTCAGTATAAGCAGAATGAAAACTAACAATGAATGGTGCAAATAACATTTTTAAAGAAGTGTAATATCACAAGTCCTTTAATGTAAAGAGTATGAGGCTTCCAATATTGTGAACTTTTTATATGGCCTCCTCTTTAAGGCAATGTACAATAAATACATAAATGCTTATTTGGCCAGGTAGTTGTAAGAATATTCTTTTCTTTGTGTCATAGTAACTGGATTTTAGATCAATTATGGACCAATGTTGGAAGTCGACTGTCAACTTACATTAGTTTAATCTAAATAATAAAACCAGTAGGCATTTGGAAGAGTACAAGCAGATATAAATGAAATTGTCACCCTTTGTCCTTCATTTTTCAGATCTAATACAAAGCTCTTAGCTTCTTGTATTTATGTTTATTGATATTGATGGATTGTAATTAGTTTTGATGTAGCAATAACTGATTTTGCTTTATTGGATGTTACATTCACATGAGTGGCCAACATTTTGCAGCAAAGTTAATCATCCTATTATTCATCAGATCACTGTAGTGATTAAAAGTGAAGGCTTTGGGAAGTATACAGGCTGAAATAAGCTATTTATCCATAGAACAGGGCCAAGCAACTGGAATTTAAGCTGCCCTACACCATTTGTTGTGATTAAAGATACCATAGCACCTCAGACACAATCAGGAATGACCACCTCTCATCATGAAAGAGAGAAGTTCAGTCTCTATGCTGCTTTAGTACTTAGCTTTTTTGTCAAGACTATCAAAAAGTCTGGCACCTGGAGACTAGATCATAATCCTGAATGTCAGAGCACTACATCCAAATTCTACATCATTCATTATGTCTTCTCTGTCTCAGTTTCTAAAATTAAAAGAGAACATACATAAATATTGGTGTCTACTTTTAGGTATAGAGATAGAATTCTCAAATTACTGTGTGTAAAAGTAAGCACAAGCTGTATTTCTTCTGCAATACATACATAAAATTAACTAACTAAAAATAATAGGAAAGCAAAAGCAGAGATCTGACAGAGGGATTGTACTTTGTTGTTCACCATCCTAGTAGATATCTACAATTTCATGTAGCAAATGATGACCATGTGCTTTTCAACCTGAATAGGAACATTTCTGAAATAGCTTCATAATATTGACATTTCAATGGAATTGGTGCTACAATATTACATAGTTTCATTTTGTCAAAGTGTCTGGTGCTCAAATATATGCACATGATCTTTAAAAAGATTTGTTATATATTTGTTTATTCCTATGTGGCATCTTTCTGTAATGTTTATTGTCTATATTACTGCCCTCTGAGTACCTCTATTTATTATAGTGAGATGCCACTATGTATTCTGGTCTGTTTTCACAGAAGCGGGTGGTAAGAAGTTACGGAGCACTGTCCAGAGAAGCACAGAAACTGGGCTGGCTGTGGAAATGAGAAACTGGATGACACGTCAGGCCAGCCGGGAATCCACAGATGGCAGTATGAACAGCTACAGTTCTGAGGGAAAGTGAGTAAGATTTACTGTTTAGACTGTTCTTGTATTATGTATCTCTGCAAAACTAGTTCTATAAAAAAAATGAATTGAATCGAAGAGTCCATACCCTGGGCAGAACTTCACTTTAAATTAGTTTGCTTGAGGGAGATTTTCCAAGTAAAAACAATGTCTAAAATGTTCTTCCTGCCTTTTACAGATCATAAATCTCCTATTGCCCATGTGCCCAGTAGTTAATGTCACTTTGCAGAGTTCTCAGTGGGTCTAGGATCAGAGTATACAGGTTGGGAGAGACACAGGTGGGTGTACTAAGTGCATCATTTGTACCTCTTGTAAACTGGTAGAGAATCTGCCATCAGGAGTCTTTCTATTTTGGAAATCTCCTTCAGAGAGGACCTCTAGCATGTTCCTGTAGTCCACAAGTTCTATTATCTGAACTTACCTTTTTCCAAAAAACCCTACTTGTACTGATACAACCTGTAGAAAGTCATCAAGGTGACCTTGTGGGTATTTTTGAGTGGGCATGTGTAAAGATTTGGCCCTGTATTTTTAACTACCTACACCATGCTTTTTCAGAGGGCTCAAGTTAAGGTTGTTAAAGTAGCTTGCAAAGTGGTAATTTAAACTGTTTTGTTTCCTTTAGTTTGATTTTCCCAGGTGTGCGGTTGGCCTCTGATAGCCAATTCAGTGATTTTCTGGATGGACTTGGCCCTGCCCAGCTAGTAGGACGCCAAACTCTGGCAACACCATCTATGGGTAAGAATTCATGTCTTGCAGTAATCAGTGTGATGTAGTAATTTAAGAACAGTACTAGGAGTCAAGAGAGATGAATTCTAATTCTGGCCATGCCATGGATTTTTTGTATGATCTAGAAAAAGTCACTAAGGGCCAAATTTTCAGAAGCGTCTTCTAACTATAGCACCACACTTTCAGATGACATTGGTGATTGTTTTGGAGGCTTGACAGCTCTGAAATCAGCACCTAGGTGACTAAAGTTGTGTATTGAAATATTTAGACATTTAAAACTAGAGACCTGGTTTTGAAAATTTGGTCTTTAATATTCCTGTACTTAAGTTTCCCATCTATGAAATGGAGATATTACGTACCCACTACTATGAGCAGTTGAAGATTGTCAAGTTAAAAGTGCTATTTAAGTGTAAGCAATTGCAGTTATTGTTCATATAATCTTTAAATGTACAAACATCTTTTGATGCATATTTCTTTTTAACTATAAACATGACAGAAATAGTTTGCAAAAATTTTACAAATGTATTTTAATGGCTCTTAGCTCACTGAAATGTATGTAAAGGGAAAAATAAATTTAATTTAGATTAGGGGAGAAACCAAGATGAGGATATTTTCTGTAATGGGTTTTGTACTGTGAGACCTCAAATAGCAGTGGGAAAAAAAGCTTTAAAACATATCTGTTATAGTTAATTCCTTATTTACTTTGTTGTTGTTATGTGAATGAAGTAAGCTGTCACACATTAATTCCATAAAATATCACTTGTTTAGATATGATCTAATATTTTTTAATTGCAATGTCTCAAAATTTTCCTCTCCCAGGTGATATTCAGATAGGAATGATGGACAAAAAAGGACAGTTGGAGGTAGAAATAATACGAGCCCGTGGCCTTGTTGTAAAACCAGGTTCAAAGACACTGCCAGGTAAGAAAAGAAGAATATAGCTATGTGAATAGAAGTAAGTGCTGTCTGCAGCAAAATTTCTGAGGTTTTACTGTTCAAGTGAAATCTATTAACAGATTGCTAATAGCACCGGGCTATAGCATTCACTGTAAAATGAAAAGTAAAAATGTGCGGCCCTCATATAAAAGCCTACATGTAAAGATTCGGTTTGAACCCCAACTTCAGGAGAAAATGTTAACTGCAAAAGTGTTTGGTGGTGCTGCCACTAAAGGACTAAATCTGTTTTTATAATAGCAAATGTCTCCTTGGCTACGTATGGGGCAGGGAAATGAAGCATGTATTGAAGATGTGACACAAGTTATTTAATAGAGAGGAGGAAGTTAACAAAATTCTCAAAACAGATACACCTCCTAGAAAGCAGAGTGGAACCTGATGTTTATTTTCTTCTCTTTTTACAGTATATTGTCCTACTGTTTTAATGTACAGTGTTGAATGAAGGGGACAATACAATGACACATTTAGCAAGTTCTTCTACCAAAGTAGAAGTTAGTTCAGAATCTTTCTCTCCTCAGCTTTTTGTGTCACAGATTATGTGAAAGCATAAACAATTTGCAGTTTGATCCAAAGCCCACAGAAGTCCACGTCTTTTTATTTACTGGTACTTAACGGGCTTTGCATCAGATCATAATTTTGTGGCACATGCTGTGCATTGGAGAAAATTTTGAAATATAGAGAAGATTTGTTATCTGTTATACATGAATATGTTACATAAGAATAAAGGTTCATAATTATTTAATGCTGTATTCAGGGACTTGTTTAATTGAGGTATTTGTCTACTAAATAACAGGACTCAGCAAATGGTGATGGAATGTTACAGCTAGCTTGCAAAATTGGATTAGCTTTTTGCTTACTCTTATTCATTTTCTTCCCCTCTTAGCACCATATGTAAAGGTGTATCTATTAGAAAATGGAGCCTGCATAGCCAAAAAGAAAACAAAGGTAGCAAGAAAAACACTGGAACCTCTTTATCAGCAGCTTTTGTCATTTGAAGAAAGCCCCCAAGGCAAGGTTTTACAGGTAATTTACATCAATATTCTTATCTACCTGAAAATGTTTCACTTGTACAATTCTTACTGAATGAGGCCAAGACTTCCTTCCACACCTTCTTGTACAAGTCCTGTTACTTCAAAGCCTTGCTGAGCAGATATGTTCTATTGGTGGCAACCAATAAGTGGTGCTGCACAAACATTGATCAAGAAATATAGGTGAATGAGGCCTCTTCTACACTAACCTTCCCACCCCCAACAATATACCCTACACAACTTCAGCTACACAAATAACATAGTTGAAGTCGACATACTTATAACGGTGTCTTCCACACGGTAAGGTCGGTGGGGGTTGTTCTCCCATTCACTCCAGCTACTCTTCTCGTCCTGGTGGAGTACTGGAGTTGACGGCAGAGCACTCAGAGATTGATTCATTGCATCTAAGCGGACACAATAAATCAACCGCCAGTACATCAGTTGCTACAAAATTAATCCACTGCATGGTGGAGACAAGACCTGACAGCAGGCACAAGAATGGATTTAACTGTCAGGCTGCAACTTTATTAAACTTAGTCCCTGGGTGGGATATTATCTTCCCCATCTCCCTGTACTAGGCCTTTATCTGGGTCAAGTGCAGGGTTTACAGGGCTTCTCTCAGATAGTCCATAACACACGGTCAACTTTTCGCTGCTTACCCCTATGATTCAGCTCACTGAAGAGGAGGGGTCTAGCCCTGGGAATATTCCCTCTTACATTCCAAAGCTGTCCAGCACTTTGTAAATTCAGTCAAGCCTCCAACCCATTAAACTATGTGGGTGGCATAAGTTCAACCATATTTTGCTTGTAATAAATATATGTGCTTAATTTTACACTGGATCTCAATATTTTAGCTCTTATATTTCATGATTAAATGGGTTAATAGCCCAGAGGACTCCTCTGGTTGTACCACTCTAGCAGAATCAGGGCTCATAGGCTGTCTTTCTTTAGGATTGCTTGTTTGTGAATAAGTAACTGGTTACAGCCAAAGAATTGATTGCATCAGATCACAGTTTTCATATTTGTTGCTGAAACTTCTCTATCTTTTGTTTCCTTTGCCAACAGATAATTGTTTGGGGAGACTATGGACGTATGGATCACAAATCTTTTATGGGAGTGGCACAGATACTTTTAGATGAACTGGACCTGTCAAATATGGTGATTGGATGGTTCAAACTTTTCCCCCCTTCCTCCTTAGTAGATCCAACTTTGGCTCCTCTGACTAGACGAGCTTCCCAGTCATCGCTTGAAAGTTCAACAGGACCCTCTTATGCTCGCTCATAGCAGCTGTGAAACTGTTGTCATAGCAACCAGCGTTACAAAAAATAATTACAGGTCGCAAACCCTGGTAACACTGCATGCTTAATGTTGTGTCTTCTGAGCCTGTTTCTAGGGCTACCAAGCGATCCTGTGTTCTCAGAGGAAGTTGCACACATTGTGCACTAAGGAAGGCCCTCAGGTGAAAGAGTGGAAGTGTAAAGAACTAACAGATTTGGAGTTAAGTGACATTTAATTTTGATCCAATCTGAAGCCATGGATTAAACTAAAAGAGTTAATGTGTTTCATGCAACAAAAGTCCTTTTCAATGGCATATCTATTTTGTTGCTCCCTTTTAACTGCCCCCAAAGCCTAATAATACCACAGAAAAGAAGCTATATCCCTCCTCCATGAAGCCATGTTACAAATCAGTGGAATAGTAGACATCAGAAGAACAACAGAAGAATGTAAGACCATTGAAAAAGAAATGCCAGCTGTCATATGGAGAAGAGACCAGAGAAAACTCTTCGTATTAGAATGCTTTAAAAGTTATTGTGGCAGGCTTCATAACTCCAGCTATTGCTACAGTGAAAGCCCAGATGTGATGGACTCTCTGAAAAATAAAAATTCTTTGGATATACTGTACTGTATTGAAATTAAAGAAACTTTTTTGCATGGACACAGATTTAGCTGAACACTTAAATTATTTTCTTGGGGCTGCAACTTGCAAAAAAAAGAATAAATCAGCCATTTTCAACAATTTATATTATTTTTAAAAGTAAATTTCACTAGTGCATGGTTTTAAAGGGGAGAGAATGCAACAGGGTGATACCGAGACACACCACCTTTATCATTCTTTAAACCAATCATGATCTGTGTTTTTGCAGACATATATTAAAAATAAAAGATGATAATTTCTAGCTAATATTTACAATTCTGTTTGTGACAAGAAATAAGTATAATACATTAAATTTATTTAATTGTAAAAGGTACAAACCTTGTAAAGTTCGACATTATGTGCAAATTGTACACTTCTTCCTCCTTTCTCTCCTGAACCTGAATCTTCCTTTCGCTCTTTCCCCCCTCTTACTTTCCAGGATGATCCATTATATCCTAGAACTGCTACCTTTTGACATATTACTCTCTTATGCCCCATATTCAGTTCAAGGTTGCAGATGATCTGCATTTTTGAATTCTTGGACAAAAATATTGTTTAAGAGCTTACTTTTTTCAAGCATGTTGAAAAGGATTTTGCAACATGGCTTGGGAGTACATTAAAGTAATTCAGCATGTATTTGATAAAGAAGATATTTGAACTTTTTGCAATTAATTGTACAGTGCATGGTAACTTATTTTCATTTTTTTCTCACCTTCAAATTGAATTCTACAGCAAAATACTGGAGTTACGTGGCCATTGTAAGATGTCATTAATAAATTTTGTTTTCAGTACCAGCATCATTCATTCAAGGATTGAACTATAATTTCTTGAAGGTTTTGGAGAGAGTAAATATGAACCAATTGTTTGATTTTTAGGAACTAAATTTCACCATTTTTTATTTGCACTGAGCCAAACAAATAGCTACATATTTGGAGTCATAGCAACTAACAAAGGTTATAAAATTCTTCATTATTCTTCTGCTGTAAATTTCTGTTTTTCATTGTCTCTATTTGTGATAGCCGAGGTTTAATAAGTGAACATCGGTCTGCATAAAAATATCAAACTTTGATTTGTAATTGCCTTAAAAACAGTAGAACAAGTACAATCAAACAGTTATTTGACAACATCACCACGATTCTAGATGCAAAGTCAACAGATGATGTCTCCAGGCAGCAGGTATTTATTACCATTAGGTGGTGTTGCAAGTCCAGATTTCTCATTCATTTCTCATATAAAGGGAAGGTAACTGGCTAACATTTAATGATAAACTTTCTCTCTTTTTCTGCGTCTTTAAATGCCTTTAATACATACTTATTATTTAATGTTGAAAACTTGCAATAATTATTGAAATATACATTGCATTTAACTTTAAATTAAGGCCATGCACACAGAATTATTCTGATTTTGTTTGAAAATGTATTAATGCTGCCCATTAAAAACTGTCCATGTTTCATAAGAGGGCAAAAGTAACAACAGTATCACTTTATATGCCTTTTAATTTATGTGGTGCAATATGATACACATCAAGAATGTGTCTTGTCATTCTAAGATTATATGATGGAACAATGTTATGCTAATGAACAGACTGGTAAAACTGTTTACTGAAATAATTTAGACACCTGTGTACCAGCAACAAATAAATGCTAAAGACATACAGTCTATGATATTCCCCAGAATTTTTTTAAAGTACAACTGTTTTCCTAATACTATCAGATGCAGTCACACTTTCTTTTATTCATATTCCTATATAAATGATTTCTGATTTTGAAAAGGAAGACATGACCATATGGAAGGATTGTATATACTTGCATTATGCAGTATTTATTTTAAAATGTAATGTATTTTTTTTTAATTTTCAAACATCTGCAATTCTACTTATGGTTTAGTCATGTAAATAGCACTATTCCAGTGATCACTGCTGTCTTGTACATAGTACATTTTAAAAATTAAAGGGAATTACAGTTGGGAGAAAAAGGGCAGATTAGGCCTGTAATGAACACCAACTAATGTAAATCAAATTCATTCTGGTGATGGTATTCAACACTTTAAATAAAACATTTTCTTTACAGAACTGGTACCAGATGCTTTGTTTTTTTCCTAAGAAGAACCATTCTTTAAAAGAGGTTGTGATCTTCATAACACAGAGAAACAAAATAATGTAGCTTTGAGTTTCAGTACAGCAGTGATGTACATGAAACACCGTTCTTAATACTGCAGCACTCTCGTTGCCAGAAATGGCATTTTTCTTCATTTTCTATTCACTGAGCTGTAATATTATACTGTAAAAAAATTAAGCTTCTAAGGACAACATTTTGTACCACTGCTAAATGCAGTAGAAAACTAGCACAGAGTTGCAGCCTGGGATGAGACAGCACAGGTCAGCCTCACTTGAGTCCCTTCATGGCCTCTCTGCCACACCACAAGCTCTAAGCAGCTGTATGCAGTAGTTTGAAAAAGGAGAGGAGAATGTTGCCAGTGCTTCCTTTTTAGATCTATTGGCAAAGCCCCTAAAAACGGGAAGCTGGATAGCACTGCAGCCTTGAGTCAGCAATAGCAGCCAGGAAGAAGCTCTGAGCGGGGGAAGGGAGGTCTTGCTTGTTCTACCTGTCTCCCTTCACAGTACAAAAGCTGTTTGTGCTTTGACCAAAATAGAAGTGTTCTGTGCTAACAAACTCAGTCCTGTATATGCTACTTTTCACTAATGAATGGTTAAAGGGACTCTCAAAGGAAATCATTACAGACACAATATAGCAGTTAAGAATTTACCCAGCTTTCATGTCGTGAATGCCTTGCAAACTTGTTTAGTGGGATGTGAATGATGTTGTGCTTTACTGGGCACACACTACATAGATACAAATACCAGTGAAATCTTTATGAACTCATACATTGGTTTCCAGGCTGCATCTCTTGAATTGTGAGCACTACATTAAGAATATATATTGTTATGCCGGAGGGTATTGGAAGCTGCCAACAAGGGTGTATGATTTATGGGCAATCAGAGACCTTGCTGAAGCTGACGCATGTGCATACTGCCCTTCCTTCTGACTCAATGGAAAAAGCAATTAGACTCCTTTATTAAATAAGATGGCTGAAATAAAAGAAACCCACATCAGAGGTTACATAGATGGCCTGGGAACTCACTCAAGGAGCATAAGGGGTTTCATTGGGACCTGATTGCAATGCAGGGGGGCTAAGGCATTTCTTGGATTGCAGGTGAGTGTGCCTGTATCTGAAGCAGAATGCCAAGAGAAAGCAAGAGAAACACCTGTGAATGTGACCCTGAGAGAAAGCAGAGAGAGCTGTTTTTGGGCGGAGTGCTGGTGGGAAAGTCAGGGTTAGATTTGTGAGCCAATAAATTATCTCCTGTTGTTAGTGCCTGTGTTTTCAGGGAAATGGGACTTTATATTTCTTCTTTGCAAATAAGCAGGACTGTGTCATGAAACCACCTGACCTGACTATCTTCAATTTCTCCATCTAACAGAAATGCTTGGAAGACCCTGAAGAGTGGCTGTGAGGGGAGGGGGAGGTGCATACAGAGGAGCAGGGACGGGGCATGTGGGGGCACTCCATTTCACAGTTAAAATATTGGTGGAGGTATGGGGCGGCTACCACGTCACCTCCAGCCCTGAATATTGCCTATCCGCTCAGCTTAAAGGGGGCCACAATATGGAACCACTTGTATATATGCTACATGGTCACAGGATTTGATTTTAGTGGGGGTGGTCACTGGTTTGCTCTTTTCCTCTGTGGCCTTTTTCCTTCCCCGTATCCATTTTGCCATTAATTTCAAACAAAACCAACCACATATCACAATCTTAAGCCTAATAATCTAGCCAATGGTGTTGGCATGTGACATTCTCTTCCAAGCAATTGTTAGGTTGTGCGAAAAGCACTTTGCAAATGGACAGTGCGATGTAAATGTAAATGTCAGGTTAGTTGTGTGATTAGTCTATAATTAGTATGTGCACTACTGGTTTTCAAATAACTTAAAAATTAAATCAGAGATCATGCTTTATACTCATTCTTGTAGCAATCAGGCAAATTAAGTAGCATAGAAAGAAAAAAATATTAAAGCTAATGTTTCATATAAAGTTTACAGGATACACTTTAAAAAGGAGGCACTACACTCGTGGTCAAGAGTGGGTTTTGGAAAGTTACAAGTATTGGTTCTCACAGTTAATGAGACAAAGAGTGTACATAACCAGCATTGTGCCAGATTAAGGTGGGTGAGTTTTTGAAGTGTCAGTGAATAATGTTCTTGAGGACGTCATCCATAGAGGGTATAGCGTCACAGTCTGTGGTGGTAAAGCACATAGGTATATGGGTATGGAGTGCATCCCTTAGTCAGTGTCTTGTGGGTCTTCTATGGAAAGAAATACAGTCTGTCAGGGAAGGATGCGGGTTATGTTCTTGACTGCATCGCGCATCGGTGGTCTCCCTGGCTTGTCTGTGTCCCTTATCGGCAGTCTCATTCACTCGTCCTGGTACTGTCGGTGACCCATGACATGTTCCATGTAGATGTCTCTGAACTACCGGATGACATTGGACACCATCACGCTAATTGTAACTGAGAGAGGGACTCCGATCAATGCTGGTAGTCCTGCTTCCACGAGGAGTAAGAAAAGTCGAAAAGGGAGTGTTCTCCCTTCAACTCCCTGCAGTGTGGCAGTGCCAAAAGTTGAGTTAAGGTACTTTGACTTCAGCTAAGCAATTAATTTAGCTGAAGTTGCATATCTTAATTCGACCTTATCCCATAGTGTAAGCATACCCAGAGTGATCATTCAAGTGTGCCTATCTTCCCTGACTTTTCCTGGGAGTATATAAACAGGCTTTTAGAGAGTGATTTGCAAATGTTTTGCCACACACACAAAGGGAAAGTAAAGCATGATAAAGTAAATGTACTTTCACTGAGCACCTTTAATGTACCTATGTAGCGTTTGCAGATGTAAGCTCTGTGCAAGTCAGTTGTGGCCTAGTGTGTATTTGGCATTCTACTAAGTTACAAAGATGCCACTAGACTTAAAGGGGTATAATCAGAAATGTCTGCCCTTAATAACAACATCTGCGCCCAAAGTTGGGTTCTATTGTTTGACCCAAAATGTCCTTAGCACTGCTACTGGTGATGTGCTGAGAATGAAATTGGCTGGAGAAGAAACCAGAGATACTAGGTTTAGAGTTACCCTTAAACCCTCAGAACCCCCACTCAGCTCCTGCCTAACCTAGTAAGCACCTAAAATTTTGCTCCTAAAGGTCCATAGATGCCTACATTTCTGCTAGTAGTCATGCACAGTCACCTAGTTGTGCCAGAGTCCTCCCCCCCACATTGCACCCAATCTGGTCGGCAGTATTAGAGGCCATTTACTGCATCAAATTGCACACAAAACAGAGGAGGAGCTGGTGATGCACCCTCATGCACCCAGTATGTCTCTTCTTATGTTCTCACACATATACTCCTTATAGCTAACAGCTTAGCACTCACCCAGGATGTGGGAGATCTGGTTTATTATCCCTCCTCTGGAGCAGGATTTGGATGCTGGTCTCCCATCTGCCAGGACAGGGCTTGTACCACTGGGCAATTGGGTAAAACTAGGGTAGCACCATTACCTCCTCAGCCTTTGGCAAGAGAGGGCTGGCCTGGCTTAGGTGTCCAATTCCAGGAGAGGGTCATGGCTGAGGGCTTGTTGACACTTGGAATGGTACAACAGCACAGCTGTAGTGCTTCAGTTTTCCCATCACTGAGGTAGTAGCAGGACTCAACAGACGAAACCATCTGTCAACCTAGTACTGCCTGCACTAGGGATTAAGTTCACTTCATGCTCACAATTGTAGATTTTTCACATCTCTGAGCAACAGTTAAACTGACAATTTTCTAGTGTAAACCAGGCCTGAGAATCCCAAGTGGAAGAAGGAGCTTCCCATTAGCTATCTTATGTCTTGAAAGGGTAGGGCCTAAGTCCAATCTCTCTCCTCAGGATTTCCCATTGGCTAGTTTAAACAGCTCCCCACTCAGCCTGCTGGCTTTTGTGAATCCCATTCAAAGTTGCCCAACCACACCCTTTGTGTTGTATAGGGAACCTGGGCACCTGATTCAGGGCTGTGGCTCCCATCAGGCAGAACAGTGACAAAATGTTAGCCTTCACCCAGCGTCCTCAGCCAGTAAGGTACAGTCATTCTACTGCCAGACTTGCCAACATGATTGTTACCTTCATTTGTATTGGCACTACCTGTCCTCTTGATGCCCATTCTCCTACCACTGCTGTTCCTTTCTCCAGTGTGTGTTCTTTCTTTCTTGATTTTTCATCCTGCTCAATACTGGAATTGGGCGTGGAGATTTATATGAGCATCTCCCAACTGTCTGTCCCAGGTTCCTAATGTAAAGCTCTTTTAATCAGTTGCTCTAATCTCCATCAATAGCAGCAGCGGCTGGGAGCATGGGGCCAATTTAAATCCCTGGGGCCTGAGCAGCTGTCTCGCTGTCTCCCCTTCGCCCTGCATCAGAGGGCCTGCTTGTATGTGTGAGTCTTGACTTTTCCCTTCAGCTTCCTCTCATGAGCCTCATCTGCTCAGATTCCCTTTCAAACTCAACCATAGTTTCAACCTGCATGTCCAAACCTCAGACCTTCTCTTTCTCCTCTCTCTCTCTCTCTCTCTCTCACACACACACACACACACACACACACACACACACACACACAGAGCATTCTTTTGGGGTACCTGCCCCACAATACTGTACATTCTGCAGCTTCCACATCCAGTCATCTTCACTGTGTCTTCCATTGCTGCACCACTGCTGCCTCTTTGTCTGCCATGCGAGGGGTGGGCATATACTAGCCCATGGGCCAGATCTGGTTCCCCAGGGTTAGCCCCTGGTGGGTTGCCATCACCGTATTTACCTGTGCCTCTGCAGACGCTGGCGATCACAGCTTCTTTGGGGTGGCTGACCTGATTTGTCTGTAAGTTTTCATTGGTCAAGGGGCAGGACATAACACCAGAATGCTTCAAACAGACTCAGCCAGGGGCACACCTTTTAAGCTGCAAGTCAAAGTAAGG